TTATGTTATAAGAAATTAACCATTTTCGTTAAATCAAGCCTCATTAGTTTTCATTTTCTTTTTTTTTTCTTATTACTCATAGATGTTTTTCTATTATAATCAATCCTATTTAAGGCATAATTGGTCTCCTAATAAAAACTTAAACCTTGATTCTATATATAGTGATTGTGGATAGAGAATAAATAGAAGAAACATGAGTGTTGCATGTCCACCAATAATAATAAATATGAAGGTTGGATCATGGTGAAAGGAGAGAAAAGGGTGCCAGATTGGTCCAACATTGTCTGTTGCTTTTGAACTGTTTGAGAGAGAATTTTAAGAAATGAAATATCTCAATAATTATTGCTCTCCCAATTTTGGACCACTATGCATCAAAGGGTACCCTACCCCCTCCCCACTTGATGTGGTAGGACTTTGCCTTACTTAATTACTTTCCCCCCTTGCCATCCTCATGTTCTGCAACTTGTCATTTTTTTTCCTATTTTTTTATTACATTTTCTAATTCTCTTGGTCAGAAAACATGGAGGAAAGAAAGTTAGCAGAAAAACTTTTCAAAAATAATAAATGTTTTTACTATTTATAGGAGTTTTTCCTCCTCATTTTTTCTCCATCCAAATGAAAGGTTTTTTTTTGTCTCTCATATTTATTATTTTTTTTTAAGAAAACAAGCATTTTATTTTGTTCACATTTAGGATCGAAGTGAGTACTTACTATTATTGGGTTGTATTCTAATATGGATCAATCTAATAGACATGTCTCTCCTTCTCCAAGATATAAGCCATGTTTAGAACCTATTGAATGGTAAAAACAAGTTTTTGCAACTTTTTAAGATAAGCTACCCTTACATAGATTTGGCCAAGATCAAGGGTTTCCAAAAGCATGCACATGATTACCAGCCAACCCGTACAAAGCATTGAGTTTGAATCCATTTAAATACAAAAAATGTTTTTGAAAAAGTTACATCGGTTTGTGATGTATAAATATGACCCAATCAAATAACCATATAAAAAGGACATACATAAAATTTGATATCTACCTAAACCCATTTATAAACTGTTTTATAATATGCTTCATGGGCTTAGCAATATATTATTATGAATGTAAAATTGATATCAAATAAAATTAGTTATAAATTATGAATAATATTATTTATATTAAATTTTATACAGTATAAAAATATATTACAAATTTAAAAATCAATAAAGTGAAAGCTTTAATTTTAAATATATTTTCTAGAAAAAAAATTGGGTGGTTTCCAGTGAGGATCCACCTAAGCTTCACATTGCTGGTTTCCGAATCAAGTTGGACCCCATCTGTTACCCCCGTGACTGCCTTCTGCGAATGTTTCCCGTGGGACCCACTTATCCAAATCTCCTCCCATTATTTTCATTGGACGGTCACACCTTCTGGTCCAATGGTCCGATCCACTCAAGTAATACCCCAACCCAATACGCGCTCTTTTTCTCCTTTATATGGTCTGTAATGACATTAGTATCTTTTAAAATTATATTAGTATTAGAAGTTATTAAGTAGAATATTTGTTAATTTTTTTTTAACATTGTCCGCTTTTCTAATGTTTAGAATTATGATTGGTTATTATTTACAAGAAATTATTTATTATTTTTAATTCATATTCTTAAATAGGAAAAATTTAAAAACTTTTTATTTATAAATAAAATTAATAACTTAAATATGTCTTTTTTTTAATTGTGGTAAGATAAAAAAATCGGAGGAATAAGCACGAAAAATAATTATTCTATGCTAACAAAATTTGAGTAGTGTGTTACTCAATATTTACTATTTAGGGTTTATTTTAAATGATTTGGATTTTTATATTTTTATATTTTATACAAGTTCATTCTGCTTGAAATATTTATATATAGAAAAAGAATGAAATTATGAGATTCATTTTTGCCACATGTATTAATAAAATTTGGTCTTAATTTTTAAATAAAATCATTTTATAGGATTTATTTGACCTTTTTGAATATCCTCAACTAAAATAATTTTGATAAGTCAAAATGTGAAATACAAAAATTTAGATTTCATTGACTTAAAAAATTTAGATGATTTGTAGTTTATACTTATATTTAAAAATATAATATAAATAAAAAGTGACTTTTTAATCACCTATATCAAAAAAAATTGGCGGAAAAAAAAAAAGAAATGAATTGGAGCTAAATTAATTTTGTATGTTTTCCTCAAATTCCTCCTCACTCAAGTCTCAATAGGATTCTGGCCAAAATTAAAAAAAGAGTCTCAATAGGACAAAAAAGGAATCAACTCGGCTTTGTCCGCTACGCATGATATGAGAATTTAGCTGGCAAAAAAAAAAAAAAAAGATACTATTCTTCGGTCAAAAAATAATAATACAAGTATCACTTTTTTCTAATGAAAGTGACTCATCTATTTTATTTTAATGCATGTCTCTAAATTATTAGTTAATGTCTAAAAGAATTGAAAAAAATATAGAAAAATATGTATGTACTTTAATGAAGGAGATAGAAGCTTGCTCTTTGGATGTGAAGCGAGCAACCTATTTATAATTTAAGTATCATTATTTTTTTTGCACTACAAGATACACAAACAAAATAAATAATTCTTTTACGAAAGCAAGATTCATTTTCTATACTTCCCTTCTTGTTTTTTTTTCTTTTGTTTTTTTTTGGCTAGCATTATCAATTTTGTTACCCTTCAACTAAAAGCAAATATAGAAAAGGAAGCTTCTCCTACGATTCATTTTAAAAAGATGACAAAATCACATCCACAATACTAATATGTTGTTATTACATACCAATAACCATCATACTTGAATGATATCTAAATAATGAAATCTTTTACTTATTCACCACATATGTCTTAAAAAAAAAAAAGATACTGATAAGGGGTTTAAATCTCATTAATATATATATATATATATATATATATTTTATTTTTTTTAGACCGGAGTGTCCTTTGCTAACCATGGAGGCTAATATCTCTTATGATGAGGAAGGCAATAGACAAATTTTTCTTTTATACATATAAGAGTTAGGAATTAACAAGAGCTTTTGTCATCCGCACCAATTTGACTTGATAATTTTTCATATAATTATCTAATATTTAATATTGTTATGTGATATTTGAGTATTGTCGGATCTAATAAAAAATAATTACTGTCACAAGTTTTTTTAGTGGTTCAAGCTCTTAACTTTACTTAAGGGGAATAAAGTTTTTTTTTTACTTTTTTGTTTTAATTCTATCCTTAAGCTAGCACATATTTAATGAAAAGGAGACCCACACACCCATGCATATAAGCAAACATATCAATCCCAATTTAAACATAAAACTTTTTTTAAGTAAAGGAAGTGGTGTTAGCATTAAGACAACTAACTGCTGATAAATTCCTTTCTACTTGACTTGATTATTATTGTGATATAAATTTTTATTTTTAAACATTTGAAATTAAAACACAATTCCATAAATCATATAATATAATCCTTAATATCAACCCCTTACATTGTTAATTCCAACAACTTAGCTTTGATTGCTTAAGGAGGATGATGGTGGAATTGGCATTATCCAAGAAAATGACAACCCAATTCAATTAAATATCTTTAATCCCTCACAAGTCCAAATTGGGATTTGTGAAAGTCTTATTACTGTTTCACCCTCAAAATCTGCATCATCCCTCTTCTTCCCTTCTGTGCCTTTCACAGTCCCTTGTGACTTCCTCTGTTTTCTTCCTTACTCCTTTGTCTTCCTTGTTTCAGGCATTTAATACTTTTTTGGTTTTTCATTTCTCATCAGTTTCTCAATGTTTCATTGAGCCTTGAGTTACCGCATTGAGTTGGATTAGATCACATATATAGATACAAACTTCGTTGAGAATAATCTTGATAGAGACATCACTTTCATAAGCATCCAAAGCATGATCAATGATATCAATATTCAATTGAGGATAAATTCTTTGATTTTGGATCTAGAATGACAACAATGGAGGAGTAGCGGCTTCTACAGGTTTTATTTGGCGTAGAAAAAGGAATTGAATGAAGAGTTTTCAAAGTACTAATACTTATATTACTATCCAAATATTGTAATAGAGTTTTTAAGTAAAATTTTTGAAGACTTGATTCTTTATTAAAAAATAAATTTTTTAAAGTCAATGTTTGATCTGACTTCATCAACGTTCTTGCATTCATTTAAAACAAGTTTTCTCAAAAATATTCTTTATTCAGTACTAGAAGCAAATAAATATATTAATTTCTCATATATATATATATATATATATATTGATTTACTCGCATATTAGGCTTTTTACAACACTTTAAATATCACTTTTTATAATCCATCTTTAGAATGTGAAAATTTATTAAACTCTAACATGACATAATTTGATTGTCTTTTGCATAGTTTTTTGTGGCTTTTAATTAAAAAAAACGTTTTAATAAATATAATATAAAGAACTCAACTTTGATTGAAGGACACCATTTTCCGGCATATATGAATCAAGAGGACATAGTCATATTTGGTCATACTTTACTCTCCAACTTCCTTTAAATGCTTACTTTTATGATATTTTACCCCAAAACTAAACGAAAGATAAAATTTTTAACCCAAACTAGGTGCTCTCTTCTCACCATTTGGATTACCAATCCCTATAAACAGAGCCAAAGTTGTAGTCATCATGTAACCAACCAACTAACCCTCACGGGATTTACCGTACTGGCCCTGTATTTTTCAATGTACCACAAAAGTAATTAACTTGTTACTTACACTGTAATATGCATCCATGTGTGTGTGCATGTAAATGTATAAAAAGCATTCACGGACTTTCAGAAAATTACATCAGATTCTTTACAGTTGTTCTTTTGCTCCTTAGCTAAAAACTGGTACAATTAATACAACTCTCTCTTTCATCCAAAAAATTAAAAAATATGGCTCTCTCCAACCACTTCCCATTCACACATCACGGGCTGCTAGAAAACAACGTGTTCTTCATATATATATATATATATATACTGCTGGATCCATATCAAGCATACTCTGTTCGAGTTTTGCCTCAGTTTTCATTTCAAGGCCACAATGGCCTACCATGAAAACAGAGCACTCTCTGTTTTGCTCTGTTTTCACTCTCTCTTCTTCTTCTTCACGGTTCTGTTGATGACTTCTTGCCGGGTTTCAGGCCAGGCATCGCCGGTGTTTGCCTGCGACGCCACGAAGGATCCGGCGGTGGCCGGATACGGGTTCTGCGACCGGTCATTGGTGGTGGACGCCAGGGTGGCTGACCTGGTGAAGAGGATGACGTTGCCGGAGAAAATAGCGAACCTGGTGAATGCGGCGGCGGGTGTGAACAGACTTGGCGTTCCCAAATATGAATGGTGGTCGGAGGCTCTTCATGGTGTCTCATACGTCGGTCCCGGAACTCGATTTTCCAATGCAGTTCCTGGGGCTACAAGTTTTCCGATGCCTATTCTCACTGCTGCTTCTTTCAACACTTCCCTGTTTGAAGCCATTGGAAGGGTCAGATTTCTCTTCATCTTCATCTTTATCTTGAATGTGTGTTTGTTTGTTGCGTCAAGTTGGCTTCAACTTGGATCCAAGCTTGGATTTTTATGCCTGAAAATGACTTCGGTATCACCGAGCCAAAGCTCATTGACAAATCAAGTTTATGAGTCGTTCTCCCTAGCGGTTCAAGTCCACTCAAATTTAGACATCCCAACAATATCCACATATCAAAGATTGTTTGGAACACGAAGCAACAACCCTGAAACGATTTGAGAGGAGAAATGGGGAAGAGACGATGTGAGAGAAGTAGTGGGCCAACCAATACGTTTTAACTCAAAATCTCAAAATTTAAATTTAGATCCTTCTTCTATATTATTAGTTCAAGTCTACTCACACGTGAATATCCTAACAGATTTTCAATCAAAAATATACCAAGTTGATATGATTGGTTATGTAAAATGGATTGTTTATTTGATTTTGGGTTTTTTTTAATATTCATTTCTTATTTCTAAATAATTTGTTTGGGATTTTATGTTATTTTAGGATAAGAAGATCAACCCCAAAATCATGTTGATAAACGAAACTAAAAAATACCATTCCATTATTGGTTCAGTTTGAGCTGATTTATTAGTTTGGTTCAATAAATTTAATTTAGTTTTGAACATTCTCACTGCTGCTATGTGTCTTTTTAACATCTCTTCTGATGGTTTAAGAAAAAGTATCGGAAGTGTATAATTTATACTTCATTTTACAGAGTTTGGTGAGATCTGAATATGACAGATGATTTTGCAGGAACGTAATGTATGAAGCTATTTGCTGTAGTTGGTAGCAGTTTCTTTCTTCTTCTTTTTTTCCCTACTTTATTCTTAATGCTGCAGAACCTTGTTGTCTTGCTCATTTAAAGATCCATTTGCAGTAGAAAATATCTTAAACGAGAAAAAAGTGGTAGTCTTTAATTAGAAAGTATTACTAATAATTAATGAAATTTTATCAATGTATTATTACAGATATAAAGAAGCAGATGAGGGAGTCAAAAACATGATTGATTTTTTCACTTCTCCACTCTTGATTGCAATGTGATTTTTTCAAAAAAAATGCTGAAAGAGTACTTATTTATTAATTAACTAAATGATTAAATGAGGCATTATCCTGAATGAGGTATTCATTATGTTATGGAGAGGTAGATGGGGTAGCTACATGATTAATTTTTCCACTATCTCCGCTCATAATTGTCTTTTATAAAAAAAGTGCAAAGTGAATATTGAATGATTGCTTTCAATTCCAAAATTTCATAACTAAAAATCATGTGGTGTAGAATTTTTTAGAAGACTAGTGAATAGTCCTTTACTCTACTCTCCTATCAAAAAATATCACATTCAAACTTTTCATTATCTTATCTTGTTCTCGTCAATCCAAATATTATTAGGAGGTAACAAAAATGAATGATTGAAAAATACAATTACAAAAAATGAAAAAGCAATGTAGGAATCGCCTTGGTGGGAACACGCATGAACATTTAAAAATGTAAAGCATTTTTAGAAAGGTTAGATGTTAAAAAACGTAAGATATTTTTAATTTTTCTAAGTGTAATAATTGCTTTTTTTTTTCTTCCAAAAGTGCTCCTATTAAATGAATTACTTCATATTTATTTTTAATAAATAGGGGGTAAATATAGAAAGATAGGATTAGTTTAAAAACAAGTAACCACTTCATTGGGGGCAAAATTTGGTTAAAAATGCCTTACATTTTTTAACAGAGAGAGTATACTCTTAAAGGTTCCATCTTTGAATATTGAAGCAAAAGGATGATTGAAAACCAGTACCATGAAGATTTACAAGTACTTTACACAATGCTCATAGTACTTTTAAATAGATGATTAACAAATCACATTAAGTCATCAAAATGCAGGGTTCATGTCTTAATACTTTTCTACTTCTCCAGCTGATATTTTGCTGCAAAATTACCTTCTTTATGACTAACACTGTCTTTCAGATGGTACTTAATGACTAATTGAGAGGTTTCAGCCTGCAAAACTGTGAAACTATTGAAGATTAATCACTCACACACACAATGCAATCACTACACTTAAAAATGCATATTTCATAATACCTCAGCGATCAAGAAGACAAGAAACAACAATAAGAATGCTTTCAAATGATGTTGATGGCTAAATTTTCTTCTGATTTACCTTACAGGTGGTTTCTACAGAAGCAAGAGCAATGTACAATGTGGGGTTGGCTGGTTTGACTTATTGGTCTCCAAACATAAACATATTCAGAGATCCCAGATGGGGAAGAGGCCAAGAGACACCAGGAGAAGACCCTTTACTTAGCAGCAAATATGCAGCAGGTTATGTGAAAGGCCTTCAACAAACCGATGATGGCGATTCAAACAAGCTCAAGGTTGCTGCTTGTTGCAAGCACTACACAGCCTATGATGTTGATAACTGGAAAGGAGTTGAGAGATACAGCTTCAATGCTGTGGTAATTACAATCTTAAGTTTGGATGAAACACTTTTGAGTAACTGTGTGTGAGTGTGTGTCTTTATGGACATGAATGATGAAAATGATTTTGATTTTGATTTGTTGGGTTTGTTAGGTGACAAAGCAGGATTTGGATGACACATTCCAACCACCATTTAAGAGCTGTGTGATTGATGGGAATGTTGCTAGTGTCATGTGTTCTTACAATCAGGTCAATGGAAAGCCAACCTGTGCAGACCCAGACCTTCTTAAGGGAGTCATCAGAGGGGACTGGAAACTAAACGGGTATTTATTACTTATCTTAAAATCTTTTTCACAGTTATTTGTTGCCTGATAACTTAAAACAAAAAAGGAGGGAAAAAAATCAGTTCCTTAGGAAGCACAGTCAGTCAAAGTGTTAGGCTAATCTTTCAAAAATAACACTTCCTACTATCATCACAATACCTTCTGAGTGAGGGGCTCTTGTCAAGAAGAAAAAGTAATTTCTATTTTAGTTCTGCCCCAAAGGAAAAACTCTAGTTTTCTGCTTCTCTCACATAGCAAAAGAATTAGATTTTTCTGTCTTTAGAAAACATATTGTGTTTTGACTAAACATATTTAGAAGCTAAAACGTTACCCAAAAAAAGTTTATTTTTCCTCTCCTGTGTCATCATTAGATAAAGAAGCTATTAAATTTTCCTGTTTAATGTAAACATTCCTTTAAAGTTCTTTGCGTATATCGGATATGCAGGTACATAGTTTCTGACTGTGATTCTGTAGATGTGCTTTTTAAAAATCAACATTACACTAAGACTCCTGAAGAAGCTGCAGCCAAGTCAATTCTAGCAGGTAATTAAGCATGAAAAGCAGCAATAGTAGAATAATCTATTACTTGTAGTTTAGTAGTTTATAAGAAACTAAAATACTCATTTGCATACCTTTGATACATGCAAATTTTGATTAAACAGGGTTGGACCTGAACTGTGGAAGTTCTCTGGGAAAATACACAGAAGGTGCTGTCAAGCAAGGCCTTGTGGATGAAGCAACCATTGACAAGGCAGTGTCCAACAATTTTGCCACATTGGTGAGACTTGGTTTCTTTGATGGTGATCCAAGCAAGCAACCTTATGGTGACCTCAGTCCAAAGGATGTTTGCACTACTTGGAACCAGGAGCTAGCCCGCGAAGCTGCAAGGCAAGGGATTGTGCTGCTTAAAAATAATAAAGGATCACTTCCTCTTGATGCAAAATACATCAAATCCTTGGCAGTTATTGGGCCAAATGCTAATGCTACTAAAACCATGCTTGGAAACTATGAAGGTACTTTCTTGTACATGTCTTGGCCTACGCCATTCGTGCTGTGTCTGATACACGCTCGCTTCTTTATTTCTCTTCTAATGAAAATTCCTGGCTTTTCACAATTGAAGACTTGTCTGTTCGTTCTTATTCAAATGGCATTTTTTTGCAGGTAGTCCTTGCAAACTGATATCCCCTATGCAAGGTCTAACAGCTCTTGTTCCTACAAGCTATGCTTCTGGATGTCCTGATGTGAAATGCAACAATGCCTTGCTGGATGATGCCAAGAAGATTGCAGCTTCTGCAGATGCAACTGTGCTTGTAGTGGGTGCGAATCAAGCTATAGAAGCTGAGAGTCTTGACAGAATTAACATTACTCTTCCAGGACAACAACAACTTTTAGTTACTGAAGTTGCCAATGTTGCTAAAGGGCCTGTGATTCTTGTCATCATGTCTGGAGGTGGCATGGATGTGTCATTTGCTAAGAAAAATGATAAAATCTCAAGCATCCTCTGGGTTGGCTACCCTGGCGAAGCTGGTGGAGCTGCCATGGCTGATGTCATTTTTGGGTTCCACAATCCTAGTAAGTTGCTAATACTCTCCAATCTTAATGCACAAGGACATGTCTCATGTCTATAACTTTGTTGGGCATAAACACAATCCTATAACTAACTTTGACACTCGTGGGTGGTTTTTTGATGCAGGTGGAAGACTACCTATGACATGGTACCCACAATCCTATGTAGACAAGGTACCAATGACCAACATGAACATGAGGCCAGATCCTAAAACAGGATACCCAGGCAGATCATACAGGTTTTACAAAGGAGAAACTGTGTTTGCATTTGGAGATGGAATAAGCTACTCCACTGTAGAACACAATCTAATTAGTGCACCACAATTGGTGTCAGTTCCCCTAGAAGAGGACCACACTTGTCGTTCTTTGCAGTGCAAGTCACTTGATGTTGCTGAAGAACATTGTCAAAATTTGTCATTTGAGGTTCACCTGAGTGTCAAGAACAGAGGAAGGATGAGCAGCAGCCACACAGTGTTCATGTTCTACAGTCCTCCTTCGCTACATAGCGCGCCTCAGAAGCACTTGGTCGGGTTTGAGAAAGTGTTCTTGGCTGGAAAATCAGAATCACTTGTGAAGTTTAAGGTTGATGTTTGTAAGGATTTGAGTGTGGTCGATGAACAGGGACACAGGAAAGTTGTCTTAGGACAACATATGCTTCATGTGGGAGACTTGAAGCATCCTTTAGGGATAAGGATTTGAAACAAGTCTTCAAATCCTTAGCACAAGCTCATTTTCCCTTATTGGTTTCCTTAAAAAAGTCATCATTTTTAAAAGGAACCAGAAATAAATCTGAGGAAATTGTAACAAGTGTGTCTTATTTTTCCAATTAAATTAATGGAATCAAAGATCTGAAAGCGAAATTATACTTTTCAATTGTTTATGCATGGACAATGAAGAATAGATAATTAGAATCTCCACATTAGAATGCCAAGTTTTGAGATATCTATATTTCTTGCCTCTAATCATATTCTTAGTGAACTATGAAAAATGACATTTAAATGAATTGAGCATTTTCATACCTTGTTAATGTCAAATACTCGTATTAAAGACAATGTTATAGTTTATATGATATCTGGGTGGATAAGGTGTTTATATAATTCTCCATACGTTATGTTATTTAAAAAAAATACCTTGATATACTCCTCTTTTTCCTCACAAAATTGCCTTAATATATTTCATAGGCACTCTCCCCCCCCCAACCCCTCCGGGGGGAAATCGTTTTTTATGATCATGGGTCAGGAGGGCCAAGCCCAACGAGAACATTGGGTTTAAATTTTCACAACGTTAGTCCAGCCCAGCTCAGAACAAGTCACTAGACGTTAAAATATCCATAAAACTATAAATTATGATCTTGTATTAGCCTAGGCCCCATTAAGTTTTCTCAGCTTAATGTTAGGCTGATATAGGATCCTAAATGCTCCATAAATAGAAAAAAAAAAAAACTTTTAATATAGTGAATATTTCACTCCAAAGGAGAAAAAAGCCAGGAATTTTGAGATGAGAAAATCACACATAAGTCTTGGATTAAAAAAAAAGTAATTACTTACACCCAACCATATTGTAAATGTATAAAATTTGACTTGTTCATGAGATTAAAAAATAATGATTTTTTTATTCGAGAGCTTAATATAAACATTCCTTCATTTGGTTTGAGGGAGTGGAGCAGGAAAATTTTGGTTGTCCCACTAAAGTCCCCATGAGAGGGAAGGCCCACTTTTATTCCTATGCAAGGAAATGAATGAGAAAAAAAAAATCTTTTATTTTTAAATTTACAGTGAGAGGAAAGAAAATTTATTAAAAATTTTCCCTCCCCATTCTACCCAATATCAATATAAAATAGTTATATTATATTATTATGAACAATCTTACGCATTTAAAACTTTATTCAAATACATGACCATGGATATTTTAATAAATATTAATATAAAATATTAAAAAATGTACAACGTTAAAATATTCCCAAATCATAAACATGACGCCTCATCTTAAATCGGTCCAGATAAATTAATTATAAGTGGAAATAAAGCTGAAGCATTTGCATGCAAGCGAAAGAAGAGTCCAAAAAGGGCGTCAGCATTGGCAAGAAGCTTTTTATAATTTCAAACATAATGACAACATGTTGATGACATTTGATATTGTTATTGATGTTTGAAAAAAAAAAAATTACAATTAAGAATTCATGTACGATAATGAAATCATCTAACGTGTTGGTTGGGAACAAGACATTGACTTGCACTCGCCTCGACCAAGTCGGCATCCCTAATACCCTTTTTATTATCTACCTGGTATTCTCAATTATTTCACTTTTTTTTTCACGGACTCAAGAATTTTAGTAAAGGCGTGTTCTTCTTGATTTAGACGTTATTGACCTTTTTAAATTTTAACATCAAAGAAACTGAATTCTCTAAAATTTTAAATATTACATGAATAATTAAATACTATGAAGGACTTCAATTTATTTTTTGAATCCAAGCACTCATATCAAAAAAATTCTACAAGGGCACTTATTTTTAACCTTCCAAAGCATTTTGGAAGCGCTCTTATAAGTAGTACTCCCATATCTACAAGAACACTTTATAAAGCATTCTCATATGATAGCCTACAAGAACATTTTTTCTAATAAGCGCTCCCATATGTAGAGGCATATGAAAGCTCCTGTATGCCGTTATTCAAGTTTGAAATATATTTATATGTATTTCAAGATTTATAATGTAAATTTTAATTTAAACATTATAGGATTTGGTAATTTACATAAAAAAAAAAGGTTACATTACATAGATTTTCTTTTAACTTTGAGTTGCTTACACTTTACACTTCTATACTTTTAAATTTTTATTTTTTTGCTAAACAATCTGTCCTACTATGTATTAATATGCTATTTCATCAACAAATCATGGTATGTCAATAACAAGGTGCCTTGCATCCCCCAACCAATGATCATTTTTGCCTCCAAATATTTCTTTTACTGTTTGTGAGTAATCTATAATTTGATTATGGATCATTTTTATCTCTAAATATTTGAAATTCACTACCTCATCACCTGAACATTAATGCGCTTAATGATTGTTATATGAGTCCCACTATTTGCATTTTTTTTAATATTTTTAGAATTAAGGGTCATCTTTACCCTGTAAACTTATTCCTTAAGATTTATAAGTACCATAAACTTAATTTTAATTCATTTATATCCTTGAACATTGAAATTCTGTTGCCTTATCGCCTTACCATCCACATGCCTACCAATTTTGTTAGTGGGCCTATGCTTTGCTAAGCTTGCTTTTTTCAAAGCATTAAATGTGGAATACATAAATTAAATTGAACAGTATTATCCAAATCTTTTCTAAGTGCAGTGAAGGATAGAAGCCAAATCTTTTTTAACAGAAAATTATGTCAAGCTTTGGATTACACGCTAATAAATCTCAATTTTGAACCGATAATTATTGATGAAGGAATGACAATAAAATCTTAAGATAGGAAATTAAAGATAGTTAGGTTATTGATAAATTTTTTAAAAAATAAATTACAAATATTGATTTAGATAACTGCAAATGAGAATTACAATTGCAAATTGAAAGTCATATTTAGAATTTAAATATCTTATTTTCAATTAAAACTTTAAATTTAAAATTATCAAAATCAATATTTATAGTTATTTTTTAAAATGGTCATTAATTACTTATTCAGGGACTTTAAAGACATTTTTCCATTATTATTTTTTTCTTTTCTTTTTCCTTTGCCGCGTGATTCAATGAACTTGTTTGTGTCAAGGAAAAGTGAGGGGGGCAAAAACTTGTACGTCAATAAGTCATCTCCATGACATCATTTGGCTTTGATGAATGCCAAGGGGCAGGAGGAATAATTGTTAATGCTAGAGGACTAATTTTATATTTTAATTTAACTAGATACTAAATTTCTAATTAATCCAGCAAATTCAGTTGGGTGCGTAAATGATAATATTATTATGAGAATTAAAAAAAAAAGAATGATAATAGAAAGCTTTTGGCTAATGCCAAGAGACAATTTGAGTTTGACCTTTTAGCGAATGCAAAGCAAAACCTAATGCAAATTATATATAAATGGATCGCTGATTTGAGTAATTACTAATTTTATTATATTGATTGGATTATTAATTTAACCTTCATTTTTCCTGTATCATCTTTCCGCGTGCAATACATTTAGGCCGTTACTCTTTTTTAAAAAAAAAATTGTAGACAAGTATTCTTTTATTATAAATGAAGATGTTCAAGATAAGATCGTATATTAAATGTAAGTATTTATTGAGAAGTTGTTGGCATATATTGTTTGTCTAATATTTTGTTCTTTTAGGAAGTTAAATGCATTTGTTAAAATAAATATACTAATATTTAATAGTAACGACATGAATATCTTTGTTTTATGTTTAAGAGATTTTATTTGCATAAGTATTTTCGGGAAATTAATGCGAAACAGTGGGCAAATCTTCTCAGCAAGTTACCTGAAGCTGCTGGGTTTCTGACTTTGCTAAAAGTTATTACCCTTCGTAGAAAGTTGATGCAGCCCTTATCATTTAACAAGTAGTCGTGTTTAAATTGCAACTATTGTTTATGCACTGAATTAGTTGAAAGAGATTTATCTTTTATTTTAATGTATAGAAGCAGATAATTTCTATTCTTGAGAAAGCTTATTTCTTATAATGAAGAACAACCATGTGTTGATCTTACTGGAATAAATTATGATTGTTTAAGCACAAAATCTCATTTTTTGAATCAATGTAAATGCAAAAAATGTCTTTAGCAAGCAACTTTTTATTACACTTGATAATGTTCGAATCCAACTCAATCAAATAACTATATCAAAAAATTATTATAATATATATATATATATATATAATTCATTCATTTAAAAATATAAAATTTTTTTAATATTTTTATGTTTACTTAATGTGTTTTTTTAAGTGCCCATAAATAAATAAATTATTTTATATTTACTTTGAAGTAAAATACCCTATTAAATAAGGATAAATATAGAAAAATAATATTGTTGAAAATATTTAACTATTTTACTGAAATAAGATTCGATTAAAAATATTTTATATTTTTTTAACAGAGTACGTGTGTGCAATTTAATCCTTTCATTTTTATATATAAGATATGTTTAAACAAATTTTATATACCAATAAAAATTTATTATTTAGTTAAAATCGTATAAAATTATAATAATTTTTTAGTTTTGTCCTTAATAATGCCACAATCAATATCATAGTGATAAAGGATAAAGTACACAATTAATATTTCTTTCATTTTTTAAGATAAAGACAAAATTATTTAATTACTCAAAAAAAATCATTAGCAAACCTTATATATAAAGATAAAATAAATTTTTAAAAAATATCTTATACATAAAAATAGGGAAAGTAAATACTTCCTAAGAACCTCTATTTCCTCCTCCGTATTTTTGTTAGTGCAAGGAGTAGGTGTTTAAAGTTATTTATTTAACATTAATATACTTATATGTGTGTGTATCCCCAATTAAATCAAAATAAATAATTTTTAATGTGTAATATTAAAATAAAATTGTAGTTTTGTTCCTTTAATTTATAATAAATTTCATATTGATTTCTAATTTTATAAAACTTGTTTTCATTTCGGTCCTTAAACCATGGGGCTGTGAAGTAACAGACGTAGTATAATTTTATTTTTTTAAAAAAATAGCTGTCACATAATTCAAACTCACAACAAGAATGGGTCCATCGGTGCTCATTTGTGCCTGTCCCTCCAATCATATTTAAACAGTACAAATTTAAAGTTTTTTATATTTATAAAAATAAAAATTTATAAAAAATTAAAATGTGTTCATAACCAATTTGAATAATATAGATTTAACCTACATAATTT